AATTTCTCCCAATGTCTTTATTATTTTCGATAAGATGCACACTGATGAACATTTATTACACCCCAACTCTTGCAATGCAGGTCTCTCAAGATTTGTCGTTTATTCATTCTCTCGGAATGACGGAAGATTAATTACACGTAAAAGGCGCAGTCTGTTCACAGTGTGCAACCATATATTTGGCCCGTGATAGGATAAGAATTAATGGGATTTCTCATTTCGCCTCCGCAGAGGATCTTAAAGAGTTTTGCGGTGGGTGAAATTGGGTGAAAGTGAGAGAGGACAGTCTGATTAAATGATAACAAATCACTGGGCGATAGGGTTCAACTTTTTATATGCCTCCTTTTCTTCATGATTTATATTTCATGTACAAGGCTTTAAAATGGTCTTTCAAATCCTAATAACTCATACAATTAAACAACATTTAATAATTCTCCCTTTTGCCCCTAATTAGTACACTTACAAATAGCAATATAGATTAATTTCCCCACACAAATGCTTCCTCCAATTTTAATCTCATTTTTATGAGGGAAAATCTGCGAGGATTTATGTCTTCATGCACACCAAATTTACTGACATGGAAGTTGAATTGTAAAAATTGTGCAGATTTTGTACAAATTTCTAATAACAATAAAAGTTGGTGGAGCACTTGTAATAAAATAAATGTCGTTATTTGTTAGATTGTATGCACAATTGAGGTTTCACTTCCGAGCATCCTGCTTGACTTCTGTTGCCACCACAAAAGGCGTCCGATATCACGTCCGGATAGTAAATAACCACCCATTTGTATTTTTTACGGCTCTCGCCCTCAATGCGTTGTCCACCCACCAAAAATAGCACATGAACAGACACAATGCTGAATAATATTGTGCATGTGATACATTTTGAACGGGGATCTTTAATATGACACACAAGGGATGGTTGTTCAGCTGGAAATTGGTTTTCATGCCGCAGCATTCATAGCACGTGAAAACTAGTTAAAACGAGATGATAAATTAATAAAATTCAATTTTAGAAGATGCTTCTGGGTGAAAATATGCTCTTGTATTTAATTTTTGCCACCGTGTACATCATTTATAAAGTGACTCACCCCTAAAGCCAGGAGATGGAAGAGTTCATGCATGTATTGAGGAAAGAACAAACATCACCAGTTAGTGAAAAAGCCATTTAAATTTATCGTCTCAAAAGAGGATGCGAAGCGACGGGAGGAGCAGAAAAAAAGCCAGTGAAAGACATGAACTTGTCGCAGATTATTGTACAATAATTCGGATCAAGTGAATTCTAAAATAGTCTACTCTGGCTACCCTCGGCAAACGATCCGGCTCCTCCGCCTCTGCGGCCGGAAGGGTTGCGATAATGATGCTCTGTCGTTTTTTGCGACCCTTCGTCCTGCCCAAGGAGTCGTTATGGGGGGAAATTTGTTGCTCTCCGAAGGGGACGAATGGCAGGGAAGTGTCATTTTGGGTGGGCAAATGCGGTGCACGATGTGAGTTGGGGGCGAAATATGCTTGAAAGGGATCAGTGGGAAATTGAAACAAAAGGAGAGACAATAGAACTTTTTACCATTTTCTTCACTTATAGAAACCATGAAAATCCCTCGATATTTTCGTCTGAACATTGACAATGCGTTGGATTCAATTTTGGCGTCATGTTTTGCGGGGAGAAAGAGGAAAAAAAAGACGACTTTAATTCTATATATGGAGTTTTAATGTATGAAGAGACTCTTTCGAATTGAACAGTTTCATTTTACCCAGTAAAAGCTCTCCAATAAACTTCTCACCTGTTCAATTTGTCTGGAGAAGAAAAATGCCTACATAAAGTAGAGAGTCACTATGTGACTTCTTCCCACCCCACAAGTCGTCGCTTTCCGTGGCAAAGTGTGAGACTGGAAGATGGAAGAAGTGGAGGAATTGTTAGATAAATCACTTGACACACTCCACCCCCAATTTGACGAAGCTCTAGGATGAATCCACCCCTAAATAAGGAGTGACTGAATGATATTCGGAAAAGGGGTTATGGATTTGGCATGGGAAATACACAGGCATTTGCCTGGCATGAAAAATGGTGAATGGGAGAGAACATGAATTATTTTTATTACAATTCTACAATGAGTGGGTTGTGCTGAAATATGGTTTATTGGGGGAAATATTAATCCCATCGCGGGAAGATTTCTTCGCTGCGCCGCCGAAGAAGAATGGCTCTCTAAAATTTTCCCTCTCATGTCAATCTACGCTCATTTATTAAGAACTTAGGCTCACCCTAAACGCACTTTTCGTGCAGATCCTTCACCAATAAATGCCTCGAGATTATCTTCAACAGTGCTCGTGGTTAAATTCAACGATTATACGTCCTATTACTGTAAAATACACGGAATTACTTAATTGTGGATTATTAAGCGGCTCCGCTGATAAAACCGCGCACCACCCTCGGAGATCATGTGTACCACTGAGGGTGCTACCTTGCGAGGGTGTGAAAGGAGCGGAGATAGGAGAAGAGAAATGCTGCTGTTTATCAATTTAATTGTGGTGAATTGTTTGCAAAGCTCAAGCAAACGTGCGGGGAGGACGTAAATGTGAATTGATTATTTGCTGGGGGAGAATCTTCCCAATTGTACACGATAATCAATTACCGGAGAAACCAAAGCCACATATTTTTCCACAAGAGGGCGGGGGAGAGTCATATATTTCATTATCCTCAGTTCCTCCTTATCAATCCACAATCATGAGACGATTAAATTCCATTTTGCTTCGCCTCTCAGGCCTGAGTTCATTGGCTATAATTTAATAGAAGTAGATCGATTGGATACAAAGAAAGACTCTTTTAGATTATATTATTTCAACTACATAAATCTATACCAAAGAAGTCTAATAACAAGGGGAATTGAGCTTCTCTGATGACGAATGGATGCTCTTGAATCGTCAGAATTTAATGAAATTCCTATTCAAACACATTGACTATGTGTTGATGTTAGGAAAACTGAGATTTTTGGTTTTTCTCCACGAGATGTACTTTTCTCATTCGAAGTTGCCCAGCATTCGCTCTCGTTCTGCGAGGAGAGCTTCGAAATTATCAAGTGCGCTCAAATGGTGCCACGGAGCTCTTCTGCAGGGCCACCCGATACGGCGGGGAGTGCAACAGTTCATTGGATACTCGTCCCATGGCCCAACTGCCAAACTGATAAGAGGCGAACGAGGGTGAGCTGTAAGTGGGTTGGAAGTTGCGGAGTTTGCCGAACAGTGCGATTACCTTTTGATGCAAAAACAACAGAGCAGCGCGAGGAGCGAGGGAAGCCGTGGAAATGGCGAAAAAGTGCAAAAGGCGAACGGGAAGGGCAAAAGTGAGCCAAATGTACAGGGAAAGATTGGAACGTGTGTCTGACTAGGAGATACGAGAGAAGTAATCTAATCCACTCTTGGATGTTATTGAGTTGGATATCTGAGAGACAGACGGGAGGATGCTTTTCTAATAAACTTTTACTGAGGCACTGCGAATAAGAGGCAATCTATTGATTCTATGGACACCATAGCACAACACTTCGGGATGGCTCAAAATAAATAAAATCTCCACATGGACGGGTGGCACAGTATAAAAATGTTTCGCAGGCAGGTTTATTGGATTTTCATACAACATACTTTTATGATGCCTAACTGGAGCATGCTCTCAATCATTAATTTCGGTGCTGCTTGCTACGCTTCATTAGAGACTTTGGATAGAATTTGGTCATTTGGAGCCGAATTTGTAATCGAAAATCGATCAAAAACGATGGAAAATTTGAAATATAATCAAATTAGTCCGACTTTTTTGAAGATTAATTGATGGCAATGATGATTTGCCTCTGTGTTTTCCCAAAAATACCTTTAGATCACCATTAAAGTTTGATAAATGCAGTTGACTGTCAGAAAAACAAGCTGTTTGAAAGGTGTTTTATGTGTGGAAAAGTATACCTTGACAATTTACCTGTCAATATGTGAGCGTGTGTGATTACTTGCAGTTCAGTTGCAATTACAGCAATTTTCACTATCAATCATACAAGTATCAATTAGTGAATTAATTGCAAAATACAGTGAAGAATGTTACAAAAGAAGGCTGTTTGTAAGGTAACATGATTGAGGAGGAGGTCAAGCGAATTGCAGGCCATGGAGGGAAATAAATAATTAAAGAAAGGGGTACAGTTAGAACCGGAATTGCGTGTGGAAATAATTTTCTTCTTAAGCCCTCTCATGTTAGTATGTAAATATTTGCCATGTGTGGCAACTTGACTATAGAAACTTTTTCCATTTTCACAATCCTCTCAGAAGTTACACATATTTTTCATGCTAAGACGCCAGAGAGGGGGAGAAGTTGAGGCAATTTATTGGTAAAAATGAAAAATGTAATACGATAAATTAGAAAGAGTTATCAAGAGAGCGAGAAGGAGGGTAAATAATGGGGGGCAAACCTGAAATAAGTCATGATAATGTGCAAACTAATCTCAGTTTTGGCATGACACATAAGTGCTAATTTGTACGAAATTTCAATATTAAATCGTTCATATTAATATGCATCTCGGGTTTCTGCAACGTGTTTTCAACGTCCGGAAAAAATGTCATAGATTTTGCACTATTTTTCAATTCACCTCTTCAAACGAGGGATTCTTATCTGGTGCTCTAGTGAAAGTAGATGTAAATTGTTGTCATTCTCATTTGCATGATTATCACTTAATTTAATGCTTGAGAACTTTGCTGAATTTTAGTAAGGAGAGATAATATTAAAATGAGGGAATAACGTACAAACTTGTGACGCTCTTTGTACTTTCCACTCATATATTCATACAAAAAGAAGCAAACTGAAGGGAAAGAAATCATGTCACAGAAACGTGTATTGATTGTTAATTTGTCAATCAATATTTTCTGATAATTTCATAGATATATTTTTCTGCCTTTGTTCCCTTTTCCTCAGGAAATTGCCGTAGAATTGCACCTCCAGCCGCTGATTTTCCGTTTTTTTCTTCATTCCCTTTGCAGGTTCGATTGCCGCCCTAAGACTGACGGAAGTTCGCATTCCCAACCACACAGTTCGCGGAAGCCCAGCACGCCTTGAGTGCCACTACGAGATGGACGGGGAGGCTCTCTACTCCGTTAAATGGTACAAAGACGGCAACGAGTTCTATCGCTATGTGCCCAGGGACATGCCTCCGGTGCTCATTTTCCCACTGCCTGGCGTCTCAGTCGATGTAAGTTGCTGGAGTGTTTAATGATACTATAATTCAATTTGTCGCAAAGGCGACATGCCTCAGAGATGCTTTGTTGCCAAAATAAGCTCACTTTTGCCCTCAAAACTTCACATGCCGTTAGACATTGCAGACAACAAGTTTTCCATATAAATCCATTGTTTTCTTTGTTGTGAACTCTCCTGTAACGATTGACTAAATATCGACAAATGTGTATTCAATCGAGATGTTATTGGATATTTTGCCAATTTAATTTCACCAGAAAACAACGCTTTGCCGTTGATTCCGTATAGTTTTGGCTATTTTGTACAATGAAATCAATTTAAATTTATTCACAATGAATTAATAAATATGTTTGTTGTCTATTTTCCATGCAATTCGTGTGCAAACGGTCAATGTTTTATTTATTTAAAAGCTTATTTGACTTTCGGTTCATTAGCCTCTCAGAGCTTTAATATTGCGCATAATATTTGTTTATTGGGATTAAATTGAGAGACAAAGCGTGGGAAAAATAATTTTGATTTTCGGATGTTGAAAGATGGGAAATTCGTGGTCGCTGTTGTGAAGGATATCTCATCGTTTCCACTCTCTTTCCCGTTCAAGAGACTGCTGTGATAGCATTTGGGGCTTGTATTAATGCTCCATCCTCGGTTTCACTTTTACAGCTTCACAACTCAACGGACACTCTGGTGGTGCTGCAGTCAGTAAACTTGTCCGCATCCGGCAGATACAGATGTGAAGTATCCGCAGAAGCGCCCTCCTTCCAGACAGTCTCCGACCATGGCGATATGATAGTTGTTGGTAAGTTCTTTCTTTTGACACTCAATCCACTCACAAGTGGACGCTTTGACGCTCGACGGAATGCGCAACATAGAAAAATCACCACCATCGTAATATAATTTTAATGTGATATTTTGCTGCGGGATCAGTACAAAGTTAATGTTGCTGAATAGAGTGTGTACACTTATCTCACTATTTTACTGCTTCCCTGCACTTTAAGTTGTGCGGATTTCTCAGACAGGGAAAAATAAAACTATTATCGCATATCTCTGGAATTCACAGATTTTGCAAAGGACTGAAAGCAAGGTTTGCGTTCAAATTCGTTATGGTAAAAGTTACTGGATACATTCCTGGAACCACAAATACATATCTTCTTGCCAATCATTCAGCTGAAGCCTGTTGCTATTGTTATTCATTGCGTATTAGAATTTGGCTCAGCCCCTCTCAGAAACGCCCAACCCTCGCGATGGGGTGTAAAAGAAGGGAAAATGAAATGGAAGAGTTAGTGGGGAATAAATATAACAATGTTTCACACAACTTTTACGATTTTGATATCTTTTGATGTAAAATTTAAGAGATAGATAAAAGCTTTCACGAAATTATTTGCTGGTTGAAACTTCTTGATGTCTTCCTTAGCATTTGCCGCTCATCAAATGGCTCGGGTTTGGGGCGAGGGTGGAAGTGTTGATCATAAGGAACATAGTATCTCGTTGAATCCGACGCTCTCGCTCTTTCTCTCCGAGGGGTGAGTGTCGCAACTCTTTCCAAGTGAAGAGCCCTGGATGCCTCACTGCTCGCTTATTCAGAGTTTTGTGGATGCAAGGAAAAAGCTCTTGTCACTCTCTCAACACATTCCAACCCCCTGGACGGAGGGTGGCTCTTCTGGGGGGCGCTCGAAGTATGAGACATGGTTGTCTGATGGGCTGATATATGGTGGGACGGATGAAGGTATTGTACTTCGCTCAAATACCAACCCCATCTGTGTTGTATCGCCCGTGAAGCCGGAGAAAGCCACCCTCTCTGTGCCATCTTCCACTTGGCATTTCTCGCCATAGCGATGAAGATTTATGTCTTCACCGAGAAGGGGTGTTTTCGCCTGTTTACCACTACTTAGCACTGCTTAAAAGTTGTGTAAACTGAAGAATCCCTATTATGCATTGTATCCTGCACGGTCAAATGAGCAACAAACTATCACGAACAGGTGGGATTGGGGCGAGAGGAGACAGCTAGATGTGAAAACTAACTTCATAAGCACATTCATAAATACGATTTGTTCAATTTACTTCCTGTTGCGTCACGGCAAAAAAAACCAGCAGCCCTCATGAGTACTTTTCCACCTTCTTCTGCAATGAAGAATACTGCACTCATTCTGCACCATCAATTTAATAGAGGCAAACTTTGTCTCACAAACTTTCTTCTCTAGTTCAATTTGCAACTCTGCCCAGCCTCCGCTAAAAACTCCATTAACAAACCTCTCCGCATTGAGAAAAGGTATAATATGACGATTTCTATAAAGTGCGGGTGGAACTTAGAAGACACACAAACACACACACACAAAGGAGAAAATTCGAGCCGAAACTTTCTTCATCTGTAAATATAAAGCACTTTAAAAAATTGTTAGTATTCTAATGAGGCTTTGGGTGGAAAAGTAGAAAACCCTCAGAATGAAGTAGGAAATGTGTGTGGAGGGGAGACTTTTGGGGCGTATACTGTGGAATAAAAGAAACTTTTTGAGCATAAATTTGCCTCCATGAGAAGCTATAATTTTCATTTTTTCCAACTCTCATTTTCATATAAAAGCCCGGGGTTGGAGGTCATTTTAATGAAAATTTTCTGGGCGAAGTGACTGACTTATATTCGCCAGTTCAATCGATTTCCTTTTAACCTTCAATGGCAGTGTTAATAAAAGCAGATGATGTGTAAAAGGAAGTGTTTTCTGTGGAATGAAAGGCAAACAATGAAGATTGTGCTCTTTTCATTTTGAATTGTGGATATTTTTAAGGTATTAGCTATTTAATTTACACCTACTTTACGAATATGCTGTTTAATTATTATTATTATTACAATCTATCCACTCCATCTTCAGCTTTTCCTGTCCCGTTCGCAAAGCTGGGTGTTGCTGGCCGAGAAAGGCGACGGAAAATGTGTCACAATCACACAATTTCTGTGGCCAGTATGGTTTAGTAATATCTGGTGAAGTCATATCCCACATTCTCAATGAGACAGTCCCCATTCCAGCGCCAATGCTTACATTTCCCGCTCGGGGTGTAGTTGATTAGATGCCTGTTTGGGCTTCCTGCTCCCCCTAATAACAGTATACCATTCATATGATGATGTGACCAGACAATATCTTCCGTACTATGATTAATTGAAGCACAACTTCCTTCAGGTGGGTGGAGATGGGCTGTTGCTCTTGGCCAGTGCTCTCCAAGGGACACACTTGAGCTCATTCATACCTTCTTTTTCCACACGTGTAGTGCTTTGCAGCATCATTAATTAATATTTCCCTGGGTTTCGTCGGCCACAGTGAGAAAATATGTGTCTTCACATAGCAATTTATATAGGTCAACGCATAAAATTCAGTCTTATTCATGTTTCTGTCTGCTATCTTGCTGGATGTTTTATGTTTAACTTCCTCAATGCAGAAGGATGTAATAGGAAGAGGAAATCTCCATCTTCGCCTCTTGTGCTGGTCTTTTTGCACCATACAATCCTTCATCTATCTGCCTGAAGCCAATATCAGCAGTTGTGAGAGAGGGGAAAACACGGATTTTAGGATGACTATTTGTAGGTGTCGATTACACTAATGTCCTTATCTGCTCCATCACATCTATCTCGCTACTTAAATACTGCGTGAGCGCCAACTGGCCCCAGAGAAAGTAATGGTGAATGGTGGAAATCCTGTAACTAATGACCATCAAACAGAATCTGCTGGTGTCATATTTTAGTGTAAACACGCCACTTTTTTGCCCATATCCAGCATATCATGTCTTTTTTTACGTCATTTGCAGCATTTCCTCTGCATGGATTATTTCTGGCTGCCGTGTGCGCAAATGAGACCAAGAGTGAAAGAAACTCCGTGGAAAATTTATCATGAGATAATGACAATATTTAAAGTTCTCCGTCACACCTCGCCTTTAATCAGTATCGCCAAAGCTCTACACTCAGAGATCTGAGAATAAAGTGTGGAAAATTGAAAAAAGAAAGGAAATAGCTCGACATGAATACAAATTAGAAAGTCAATGTGGAAGCTTTATTATTCTTTTTCTCCCCCACTTTCTTCCACCCTTATGGATAGAAACTCATAAACAGGACTGACTTGAAAGAAAGTTTCCTGAGTGCTCTTCATGCTAAACATTTTTAAAGTTTTTTTTTTGCTCCCGCAGACTTTATATTTGACGTATCCAAGTTGGAGAACAACTCTTCCTGCTCGTCTATTTCAGCATGGAAAATATTTTGCCCTATAACTCGCTTCGTCGCAGAGCCTTTTGAAAGCGCGCGCGTGAAAAAGGAAGAGGAAATTTTCATCATAACATTATCATAGACTTTATGTGGAAGGCGGAATTATAAAAACAATAGAGATTCAAGCTTCCACTCGGATGACAGAGGCATTGCGCTGAAAAATCGAGGATAACACTATAATTCCTGGAAGAGTAAGGACTCAACCCTGAGTTGGTGTCCACGTGAAGTGTGTTCTTTCCTATGAGAAAATTGCACCCTAATGGATAGGAGAGCCTCAGAAATGCCTCCAAATGGGCTCCGGGGGCATTTTGGAGGGTAGAAAAGTGAATTTATGTTTGTCACTAAAGTGTTTTCATTTAGTTCATTTATTTTTAATGCGACACTACGACACAGCCAATACCCAATGAAACACACCACCTTCACCTGAACATATTCCCTAACAAGTTATCGATTAATGTGGATTAACAATTCATGGTGATGGTCTCCAAAAGCTCTCTCAAATACACACATTTCCCCCATGGAAAGTCAAACAAATACTCCCCATTCCATTGAGCAGGGGAATGCGGGGAAGGCGTAGTACGCTCACATACGCACAAATTGAAATTAGTGGTGAGGCGCTACGCAAGCATAATTCACTATTATGGGCGCTATTGGTGGGAATTATAGGCAAATTGGGAAATTTGCTCACAATTTAGCGCTTCACAAGGGGAACTTGCGCTACGCACTTTAGCTGTTGACTTGATTGGGAAATTTGCAAAATTCAGTGGCCCTATTTAAAGGGGGTTTCCCTGCACTAATTATTGATCAACTAATTGTTTGTGTTGGGGAGTAAATAATGAATGGATTTCTCATGGGGAAACTATGTATATATGCGGCAGCGCAGACAAAGGATGTTTGACTCTTCGACTATCCTGGCTGATATTCCCAGAGTTTATTTTCACACACTAAAAGCAACGTGTGACAGATGTTAAGTACGTGTACTCAAAAGTCACCCATAGTCGAGTTGAAAGTGAGATAAAGACTGGTAGAAAACGTCACCTCCTTTTGCAGCTCCTGTAGTGACTTTCCGTGCACTCTCGGAATATCGTGAAATTATTTTACTGCAGGTGCCTTTTGACTCTGCTGCATTTTAAATATTCCACATCCCAGAGGCGAGCTTAAGTGGGTGATGGGCGTGAAAAAAAGCGAGCAACCCACAAAGTGCTCTCACATGCACTTTTCCTTCAGAAACTTTCCATCTTCACTGCAGCGCGAGTTTCCTTTGAAATGCATGTGATTTTCACATAGTGAAGTGCACGTTATGTACTCTTAGTATCAAATACCCATTTTGTAGAGTATTTTTTTCATGCAACAAAAAGTCAACAAGAGTGTATTTGCCTGTCGCCCAAATCCCAAATATCACCCAGAACATCCTCAGGTTTATGATATGGCGCAGACAAGGAACAAGGACGTAATATTGGATGAATTATCCCGCAGACACTGAGAAATTGAGCAGAGGGTGTAAGCTTTATTCTACAGTATCGCACATGATAATATTTTGTGTGGATTACACACTTGAG